AACAAAAATATTTTTGCTAAACAATAAAATTTTATTTTTTATCAAAAATAAGAATAAGTAAAAAAATTTTTTATTATAAATATATAAATATAAAATTAAATTATAGGCTGAATATATTATATTATATAAATAATATTATTTTAATTTTGTATTTTGTAAATGAATTTTGAAACCAAAATTAATTAATAATCAATATAAAACTGTAAATTATTATTTCTATATTAACGTAATAAATGTTTTCACGTGGATGAGTTCTACATATGTTACCAATCAGAAATTTCGTCTAACCACATGATAGATGTGAAAAAAGCACCATAAGCCAGAAAAGTTTTTAAGCGGTTTTCTTCGAATTAATAATTTGTTTTTCACACAGAGCTCTTGCTCAGGACGATTTGAAATAAACTGTTGCAATAACGATCTTTAAAAAAGAAACTTATAATAATATAGAATAATTCCTATTTAGTCAAGATCCATACATTATGGTGGACGAAGACGGTGAGGAAAGAGTTATTTGACAAATAAGATCGAAAGCACTTTTTCAAAATTATATGTCATATGAATCGTTCATTAAATTACTTTAATTATGAAATTCATTTTCTAAGATGTATGTCGTGTCTGCCGTAGCGAAGGCACTGAAGAACAGCCATTGTTTCATCCTTGTAAATGCGCCGGCAGCATAAGATTTGTACACCAGGACTGGTACTGATTTTTTCACGAATTGATTCTTAAGAGTATTTTTAATATTTATGATGCTAAGTGATTTTTTTTTTTTAGTCTCACAGAATGGTTAAAACATAGCAAGAAAAAGTAATTATTAATTTGCATATCCTGATCATGAATGCTTAAATACATCAATAATTTATGTTTGCCATTCTTTTTGACAGGTATTGTGAAGTATGCAAATATCCATTTTCATTCACTCCAAGTAAGCTATGCGAAATTGATTCAATATAACCTATTATTAGATTATAATTAACATATATCTACTACTACAAATAGTATATGATCCGAGAATGCCCGAGTCTATTCCCGTAGTATTGTTCGTTCGTCGTGGGGCAAGACGTATATATGGACTCATCCAGATATGGTTTCGAGCGATACTCGTAGGAATTGTTTGGCTTATAATTTTACCTTACATAACTGTTTGGGTATGGCGTTTTTTTTTCTGGAGTGGAGAAACTGTTGCTTTTAGCATTAATGGACAGAAACCACCTATTTTATTGCCGGAAAGTAATGGTACCATAATTGAGAAAAGCTCATTGTCAGTTTTATATGTGAGCATCCTCAAAGGGACTTTATGGTATGCACCTCCTGAGGCAGTTGAATTTGTTGAGGCATATGGAGAATTTACCAGGTTTTTATTCAATTTTCCTCTGTCAAGAATTCTGTTAAGACCCTATAAAACATTATTATAAGGGATTTTGTAGGGCTTTGTCAAATATCCATCAGTGCATTCTGTTAATTATGTGAACACCTCTAATACATTCATTTATTATTATTTTTTTTTTTGAGCAGTAAATTTTTTGCAGATACATTTGAAGGACAGATTATCACATGCATTGTTGTAATAGTATTTGTGGCAGGATTCTTGTTAAGGGAATGGATAATACAGAACACTCCACCGGAAGACGGGTTGGAAAATGAAATGATGGGCATTGAAGAAAATGATGTGATCCCAAATGATGTAGAAAATAATCTAAGAGATATTCAAAATCCTCTGGTATTACCTGATGTTGCTCAAATACCTGAACAAAACGTAAACCGTGTTGAACCAATAATACAAGTGGCCGAAAATCAAAATATTGGGAACTTTATTTTTGACAATGGTAACCGTTTACCATTAGTTTTACCACCTGCTAATGGAGAGATTGATCATCAACAATTGCAAGAACCCGTTCAACTTCCACAAATTAATATACAAGAAAGCGATCCTCAACATATTGAAAATGATGAAGGACTCATAGAGACTTCTAAATCAATCCAGGTTTCGGATGTTGAGCCTGAGTGGATAAATGATGATATGACAATAAGTAAGACGATTTTAAACCCTGTCACATCCACACAAGACAATCGCGTTGGAGAGGACATTGATGAATTTTCCACTCTCGAATTAGATCGAAAAACCTCTGCAGATGAAGCATCCACGGTTCAGGCAAATGCTTTTGTCGCTTCGGATCTGGATGCTGGGTTAATCAGGGAATCACTGTTATATGACGAAACTAATGAAATGCCTAATAAAATTTTTGATTTGGATCGGGAGACATCTCCCGTTGTAGGCGGATTGGATCAAGAGGAATCATCTATTGCTGATGAAATTGAGTGCGAAACTTCTTCATTCAATAATGAAATAGATAAGAAAGATATGAAACAAAAAAAACCTATTAACTTTTCTCAGAAGGAAGATTTTCCCGAAAATGGAGAATCACATCAAAAATCACAGTCATTTGGTTTTCCCATATCCAATCCTCAGTTTGAATTTAATCTTCCTAACCATGTACGGGAAGAGGATCCCGTAGATGACATTATCTCGAATTTATCAACATCTTCAAAGTCCAACCTTTTTTCTAATCAAACATCAACCGGACATGTTACAAACAATTTCGGTAATCGAAGAATACGGCCTATTAGAAAGGCAAGGACCAAAGTGGGTAGTTCTAATTCGGGTTCTGGATCGTCGCAAAGTAACCAAAAATCAGGTAGTGCATCATCATCACCTGATGAATTTGAAGATATTTCGGGTTCTTCAATAGACCTTGATTTTTTTAAAACTGCTTCAGGCAAAGGATTGATTTCTGATAACAGCGGTGATTACGATGATACGCCAGAAGTATCAGATAGCGAAGATAGCGAAGATGTAAATCTCCAGGAGAAATATCCGCGTAGGAGAACCGGCAAATCCTATAGTCCTTCTAAAATAATAACAAATAACAGTGCTGTATATCGCACCGATGATCCAAATTCATTTTCACTTCTAGGATCAAAACACAGTTCAACATCATCGATGATTCATATATTTAGGAAAGATGAACCTGAATATTCTGACGCTGATGAAGTTGATCATTATGAAGATGACGATGATGACGGCGAAGATCATGACTCTGAAGGTGACCTTAGTGAAAGAGAAAATGCCGAAGAGGAACCTTTTGAGGCAATGGGTTAGTCCTTTTTTTTTGTTGTAAAAAGTAATATTTTAATTGTGATGACGCGCAAAAAAATAACGTCCATTGCAACAGGTAATAATAACATGCAACCCGAACCTGTACCTGACGCCAATGATAATCAACAACAGCCAAGACAAGAACGACAAGAAGGTCAACTTTGGTTACAATTTCGGAATTGGTTTGCTGAAGTTTTTAACGATATGCTTGGCCCTAATGTCGATATAGGAGAGAATGACCAGCAAGCGGTTAATGATGAGCAAGTTGACGTTAATCCACTCGCTGCTCCAGCTATGAGAGCGCCTAATGTTGAGGCCCCCGGAGCTCCTGCACTCATTTTTAACGAAGCAATTGATGCACCATTAGTCGGGCAAGGTTTCCTCCCCTTTGGTGATGGGGAAGACGAGGAGGAAGAGAATGTTGCAAACGAAGACCTTGAAGGAGTTCTTGAAGCAATCGGCATGAGAGGATCTTTGTGGATGCTAGCACAAAATTCTGTTCTAATGGCGGTTTTAATTTCGATATGTTTAGCTGGTTCAATTTGGTTACCCTACGTTGTTGGAAAAACTGTTTTACTGGTATTTGAATTTACAAATGTTTTGGGAGATTCGGCATTTTATAAATGATTAATTCTGGTTCCATTCATAGGTCAAACCATTAAAAGTGATACAACTTCCTTTGGCCCTCTTACGTTATGTAACTGATCCTTTGGTTGATCTTGTAATTGACACTACATTACCTTGGATATGGTCGATCATTTTTCCAATATTAAAATCAGGATGGGACGCCACCAAACTATTATTTCCAATAGTTAAAGATTCATCACTTATGGTTTATTTACAAGATATAACGAACAAAACCCAAGATTTTGTAGCTTATTCGGCTTCTTTCATGACGGATATTTCTCCTAATGCATCTAATGTAACATTACAAAACATTACCTCCATCGAAAACACCAATATACAACATATCACTGAATTTCTCAAAGGTCGTAATTTAACGGTCATAGTAAAAATTATTGAACGGTGTGACGGATTCGCTTATGGGAATACACCAACGGATAAAATTGTGTGTATCCTTTTTGGGTATGCGATAGTTATTCTTTTGTGCGCATGGTATTTAACACGTACTCGAAACGCATATGGGCGTACCGTTGGTCGCGCATTTCAAGAGGTGTTAAGACAACAAGGAATTGTCCTAAAGGTAAGTAAAAATTTGAATTTATCTTATCTCTTCTCTTGTAATAATTCATTCTTCTTTTTACAGGTCGCATTCTTCGTAGCCATTGAACTAGTGATTTTCCCCATAATATGTGGTATCCTATTGGACCTCTCAACGTTACCACTTTTTCCCGATGCAACTCCGTCGACTCGTCTCGAATTTTATTTTGAATCGCCAATCACATCAACATTCCTTCATTGGTTTACGGGAACCGCATTCATGTTCCACTTCGCTGTTTTTGTTTCTCTTTGCCGTGAAATTGTTCGTCATGGTGTTATGTGGTTCATACGAGATCCTAATGATCCACAATTCCACCCAATTAAGGAAATATTGGAGAGACCAGTATGGACGCAACTCAAAAAAATTGGTGCGAGCGGCATAATGTATAGTGCCATGATTGTGCTTGGACTTGGAAGTGTCATATATTTCATTCGATATGCCTTTAACGGTATATTACCGTTGCAATTATCCTTCACGTATGTTTTTTTATTTTCTCCGAGTCATTTTATTTCAGGAAACTGAACGCACCTTCTCTTCTTAGTGAGCCAATATCCGAATTTCCGATTGATCTCTTGATTTTCCATATCGTCGTCCCCGTAACATTTACCTTGGCCAAACCAAAACGTTTATTCCGCACTTTATTTGAAAATTGGTGGCATATTACTTCACATCAATTAAGGTTAACATCATTTATGTTTGGTGGTGAACGACGTTATGACGAAGAAGGCACTCACGTGCGTAAGACATGGCGTGCATTTTTCCTAAATCTAAAAGCTCCGTTGGACGGTACAAATGACGAAAATGACGAGGTTGTATTTGTTAGAGATGGTACGCTTGTTAAAGCTCCAGGTTACGACGGAGTGCCCGTAATACCTGGAAAACGGATGTTGATACCAGTAAATGAAGATGGCACTTTACAGAATCCCGAAGATGCGCCAGACGATGATCTTGGCTATACAATTGTTTATACCCCTCCTAATTTCAAAGCAAGGGTGATCCTATTTTTGTTCCTTATGTGGTTGTGCGGCTCCCTATTTTGTTGTTCAGTGACCGTTGTGCCATGTAAGTGGTTTATTGCAATTCTTTCTGTTCATCTTTGAAAGTTTTGATTGTTTATCCTAATTAAATTTTATTTATAAAGTATTGATTGGTCGATTTGTATTTAAATCTTTCAATCATGAACGCCCTGTTCACGATCTGTACACCTTTACTGTTGGATTGTACATCATGTGGTCGTTGGGTGTTTCCTTTGAATGGTTAATGCGAAAATTCCAAGCTATTATCGAAAAACGAGATCATGATGTCGATTGGGCCGTCGTCCGACAAAAAATTTGGCAGAGTATGATTTTGATTTTGAAGATAGCATACCTTCTAGTTGCATTTGGTGTCGTTATTCCTCTTCTTCTTTCATTGGTTATCGAATTATACATACTTCATCCCTGGAAGAAGCCTACTGCAGATCTATTGTCCATTTCTTATTTGCAGGTAAATTATTTGTTATATTTTGCTTGCTTTAAGAATTTTTTCTAAAAAAACTTAATATATTTAGAACTGGGCATTGGGAATTGTATATGTGAAAATAGCATATCGTATTATATTCATGCTACCCGATAACATATATAGTAGAGCTATTAATGAGGTATGTACAGTATTTCGATATTTCATTTCCTTTGCTAGGGAAAAATCTTATTAACTTATTGTGGATTTACTTATGTTAGATCACTGAACGTGGCATTCGTCATTTAAACGTTGGATTGGCAACGAACGTATTTATCATTCCTGTCGGGGGTTCTGCATTAGCTGCCGTTATATTACCTGCTTTAACTGCTTCTTTGATTATTAACATAACCGGTAGGTGGATTCTTGTTACTTTTTAAATTATGTTTTTGTTTGACATTTTTCATTTCAATATTTGGTAATGTTTCTTTTGTTATTAGCTATCAAAAATGCCGTTACTATAGCCATGATCCATCGATGCATCTATCCAATTTTTTTGGTGATGATATTTGGTTATAGGCTCCAACGACAGACGACTCAAATCGTACAAAATTGGATGCAGACAGTTAGGGATGAGGAATACCTGATTGGGAGACGATTGCATAATATTGAGCCTAACGAAGAAAATGTTTCCGGTAGTTCTCGAAATGTATCCGCTGGCTCAGTAGCTGATTAGACTAATATTACTACTATACATGATATTACTAAATTATTTCGTATCCGTCATACATTCATTTCAAATTTACACACAAAAAAGCATTGTTTTAAATTTTAATAGTTAAGAGCTTACGCAAAAAAAAGAACCTATATGCCGGTTATAAATAACATGGGCATAATAAATAATTACATCTGTACAAAATTACACATTCTACAATCTCAATTCTTCAGATCATCCATTACTTTGTATAAATAAAACGTGCGGTGTATATACAGTAAATCTACTGCTTTGCAAGAATTAACGTTAAACGGCCTGTGCCTAATTGTTTATTACTCGGAATAGTAATTGGTACAACGGTTGGTAGAGGCTTTTAACAGCTATGATAGCAGCTGCTTGTGTTCACCTTATGATCTGATCGATGTGTAAAAGGAAAATCAACGCATTCACACTGTCCGCTACTAACTCATAGTGCCTGCCTCTAGCAATACTTTTTAGTTTTGCTTATTTATACGAATTTTCTGGTGACGTTAATACGTTCTGAATCACTTGAATTGCATATCATTTATATCATTTGGCTTTTTAATTCATCTGTTTGACGAATGGATTGTAACATTATCTATAGCCGTATTGCAGTTTCCACATTTATAAATTTTTCTTTCACCGATGTTTGTATATTTCCACAATAGCTGCAGGTCTTGGAGGTGTACGCCTCATCCTGGATAATTACCATCATGCCTGTTTTTTCGGCCTTGTGTTTCAGCCACTGCCGGAATGCATGATGTGATCAGGTGAGCATACTCCGAACTATACATGTGGTGAAATTGATCACATTATATAATCTTTTTGCCTTTCTCTTTTTTTGCTTTAATATGGAATTATTTAAAATTTTTTTCTTGGAACTTAACCTGCTGGTATGTAATCCTAATTGAATTAAATTTTGTTCATCATTTTTTTTGATTTCTGTTATATCTTCAATAAGCAAGTATATAACAAATAGAATTTGTATCTCAATTATTCATTTTTTAACAATAGGTGACTTTACAATTCCAATGGATTTTTTTAAATAGTCATTTTTTATATTTTCATTGAGTTTTAAAGTGCAAAAGTTAAAAAAATTTTTTGTTTTTTGTAATAATATTGGATTTTTTTCTTAATATACATGGTAATTAATTATATATCAGTTGGTTATATAGATATAATATATAAATAATTTCAATTTTTTTTTGAAAACTTTTAAAATTAAATACTAATAGTATACTATATATGAAATTCTTATTTAACTTGAACTTTAATATACTGTTTTATCAATAATATTATTAAAAATTTTCCTATAAATGTTTCTGAACTTAAGCTCAAAATATATAAGATGACAAAGATATTAAATATATAAACAATTAAAAAAGTATAAACAGTTTGTTATAAAATATATTAAAGAAGAACAATATAAAATTATATACTGTATATATTAAAAGAAAAAAAATTATTATTAAAATATATTATTAATTGTAATTTCAAATAGTTTTTTTTTAAGCTTTTTAAAACAATTATAATTTTTTATAAGTTAATTAATAAAAAATTTTATTAAAAATAACTATAAATAATAACTAGATATTTAAATAAATTAAAAATTCCAAAGTTATTACTTTTTTCAAATTTCTCAATTCAAATATTTTCTTGCTTAAATATTGAGCTCTTGCTAATTATTTTTAATATTATATAATAAGAAATTCTAATATAAACAAGTTATTAATATTGCCATCTGGCAAAATATATTGTTTTAAACTTTCTTTTCAATATTAGTCGTATGGTTACTGTAGGCAAGCTAGCATT